CAGGCGTCGCGGGCGTGCGGTATGCTGGGGCACGGCGGACTCTCGAGCTAGCGAGAGCATCCACGAGCACGCGAGTGGGTAGGCGGGCTCGGTGTGTGCGCGAGCTTGTGGTCATGCGGGTGCTTTTGACCTCGCCGGGCCTTCCGCGAGCTCGCGAGTCGTGCAGCAGTTATTGACGGACTCTCGAGCTTCAACTATGGCTAATGGCTCGACACGTCTATAAATTGACTCGAAATTCTTTAGAAAGCTCATCTCTCAGGGTTCGGTTTGACTCGTCTCTTCATCCTCAGGATAAACCTAAATTTATATAAAATGCACAGAAAAGTATGCCAAAACACAAAATAAAAGAGAAAACTTAAGAACACATGAAATGCGACAAAATGGACCGGTCGACACTAAAACAAACCTAAAACCGACTTGATAACACACATAAACACAACAAAATAGACACAACAACGCAACAAACATAGGACTTCTCCCCCAAGTATGAGATGACTTTTTAATTTGTAATAACCCACTTATGGTTGTTGTAACTTAACAGTTTCTCAGGTGTTAACTCACCTTTATTCCACCTGATAACAATCGAAATGGTCGGTGGACAGGTAAAAGATTACACGTTCAGGTTCAACGTACCTGAAAGGTCTCACACGGGTTGGGTCAAAACCCGAATCCAACCCAACTCAGTTTATAATTTTATCTTGGGTGCAAATAAATTTGGATTAAAAAGAATATAAGGGTTAGGCCTAAGGCCCAAGACAACTACAAAGCTCAAACCAGCATAGACCGACCAAGTCCAGACCACAGTCCAATTGCCAAAGACCAAGGACCAAGGACCAAGGACCAATGCCCAAGTCCCAAGTCTTATGCCTAGGCCCATGCCGGAGCCCAAGCCGAGCTGGCCGGCCTACTGGTAGGTAGGCAGATAGGCGGGAACGCGCGTGTGGCCGAACCCAACACAGTCTACAACTCGTTACTTAGCCCATTCAGGACGTAATTGTTGCAAAGTTAATCACTTTGCTCCAAATCGTCCGCAGCGAGAAATTCCTCATTGGTTTCATTTTCATCCACAACCGCAGGGTCGTCCTTCAGGTACATCACCAAACCTAAGGTGGTTTTATAGAAGTGCATCTTTTGTTGTCACCTCTTGAAGTAGAGCACGTTAAATTTCTCAGGCTTTTGAACGGTAGGGACGTGGATGGTGTTGATTGATTGTTTCTACTGTTGTTGGGTTTGCTGAGTTAGTTAACCTTCTACGGTGGATGCCATTAGTTTAGAAGGTGTAAAATATTTGTCTTACAATTGTTACAAATTTAATTTAGAATACAACGGGAAACCAATGAACTGAAGTTGAGTTTTCAGTTCTTACAATTTGAACTATAAAACATAAACAAAATTACAACTTTAGTGGAGACAGATTAAAGCATAGGCGATTGAAATCTTTCCGTAATACAAATAAGCAACATGTAGTGCTAATGGGTCTTTGCGTCTTCTCCCCAAAGATACAACAACTGACTTCTCAAAAGCTGTAGCACACCAACTTCCAAGCTCTGGCGAACTTGAACGGAGTTGAGAATTTGAGCTATATGTATATGCATGAGGTTATGAGAGTGCAAGGATAGAAATGATATGTTCTATACTTCTGCCACTCTAGACATGTCTTATTTATAGGACTTCCCCCCAAGTATGAGATGACTTTTCAGCTTGTACTAACCCACTTATGGATGTTGTCACTCAGAAGTTTCTCAGGTGTTATCTCACTTTTATTCCACCTTATAACAATCGAAATGGTCGGTGGACAGGTGAAAGATTACACGTCCAGGTTTAATGTACCTGAAAGATCTCACACGGGTTGGATCAAAACCCGAGTCCAAACCCAAATCGGTTTATATTTTATCTTGGGTTTTAGAGTTGCAAATAAATTTGCAGTAAAAAGATTATACAGGTTGGGCCTAAGGCCCAAGCCCACAATTAAGCCTAAACCGACATAGACCGACCATGTTTAGACCACAGTCCAATTGCCAAAGACCAAAGACTAAGGACCAAGGCCCAAGTCCCAAGTCTTAGGCCCAGGCTCAGGCACGAGCCCGAGCCGACCGACCTGCTGGAAGGCATGCAGATAGACGCGCGCGCGTGTGAGGCTGAAGCCAACACAGTGTACAACTCATTACTTAGTCCATTTAGGACGTAATTCTAGCAAAGTTAATCACTTTTCCCCAAAGCATCGTCCGCAGCGCGCAATTCATCATTGGTTTTATTTTCATCTACAACCAGGGGTCATCATTCAAGGACTTCACCAAACCCAAGGTGGTTTTATAGAAGTGAATCTTCTGCTTCCACCTCTTGAAGTAAAACTCGTTAAATTTTTCAGGCTTTTGAGTGGTAGGGACATGGACGGTGTTGACCGGCTGTTGCTAATATTGTTGGGTTTGCTGAGTTCGCGAACCTTCTTCGGCGGATGCCTTTAGTTTTGTAGGTGTAAGAGTATTTATCTTTCGATTGTTACAAATTGAGTTTCAAATAAAACGGGAAATAAATGAACTGAAGTTGAGTTTTTAATTCTTATCATCTGAGCAATAAAACAGAAATAAAATTACAACTTTAGTACAGACAGATTAAAGACTAGGCGATTGAAATATTTCCGCAATACAAATAAGCCACGTGTAGTGCTAATGGATCTTTGTGTCTTGTCCCCAAATATAAAAAAACGGACTTCTCGAAGGTTGTAGCACACCAACTTTCGAGCTCCGGCAAACTTGAACATAGTCGAGAATTTGAGCAGTATGTATAATATGCGCGAGGTTGTGAGAGTGCAAGGATATAATGATATGTTATATACTTCTGCCACTCTAGACATGTCTTATTTATAGGACTTCTCCCCCAAGTATGAGATGACTTTTCAGCTTGTACTAACCCACTTATGGCTATTGTAACTTAGCAGTTTCTCAGGTGTTAACTCACCTTTATTCCACCTGATAACAATCGAAATGGTTGGTGGACAAGTGAAATGTTACACGTCCAGGTTCAACATACCTGGAAGGTCTCACATGTGTTGGGTCAAAACTTGAGTCGAGACCCAACTCGATTTATATTTTATCTTGGATTTTAGAGCTACAAATAAATTTGGTGTGCCCACCAACAAGCCCAAACCAGCATAGACTGACGAAGTCCAAACCAAAGTCTAATTGCCAAAGACCAAGGACCAAGGCCCAAGTCCTAAGTCTTAGGCCCATGCCCATGCCCATGCCCATGCCCGAGTCCGAGCCAAGCTTGCTAGCAGGCAGATAAGCGCGCGCGTATGTGGCTGAAGCCAACACCAACATTTGGTCCAGAGCTTTGTTGTTATTGTAACATCTCCAATTCTTTTTAGTATAATAAAGAGAGTAAATCTAGTTTAGGTGTCCATTGTAGGAAGGACTTTTGACCATTTGAATACTACAACCATCGTTTTACATGCTCATTTATGCCTAACTTTAATCAACTATTTATCAATGATCAAAAAACAGTTTTGAGAAAAATAAATATACCACGACTATCTACTCGAAACGTAGAATTAATTTACAAAATATAATTCAACCTGAATTAATTATTTAGCCATCGAAAATTTAGCCAAACCGAGTCAAACCCAGATTTTGTAACCGATTTTTCCTATAATCTCAACAACTGTTAAAAAAGTCCCAATAACTCTCGGTCTCAAATAAGTAAAATTGTATAAAATTTTAAATTTTTTAAAGAATGCCTCTACAACTTTTAAAAGTCGTAAGAAATCTTAAGAGTTTGCATTAAATATACTCAAATTTCTAAAATCTTAGGAAGCCTTTAGAAATTTCAAAAAAAAAAAATAAACCTCCTAAGTTAATTAAGTCATGAATTTTGTTTTTGGAAAATTAGTGGCTCTCTAACTTATTTTATATTCTTAAAATTTTTTAGATAAAATGACAAAGACATAGATAGTCTTTAGTAATGAAAGTTTCTATAGGTAAATTTTATAAATAAATTTTAAATTTATAGCCATTTACAAATTGTGAAATAAGTTTTAATGTTACCGTAACCTTTATGATGGGATGATAATTAGATTATCAATGAGTAACAATCATACGAAATATTGTTATATTCCCACGGAAAATCCTATGGTAATATATTTCAATGAAAATTTCAACAGATATTTTAATGGTATAACTTTCGTTGGAATGGTTCCAACGAAAATTTCAGCAGAAGTGTTTCATTGGAATGTATTTTTTATTGGAATTTTAGATGAAATTTGATGATTCCAATGACTATATTTCCAACGACTTTTTATCGTAGAATTTCCGTCGGAATATGCAATTTCCGTTGGAATTTTTATTTCCGCCCCATTGGAAAATCCACCATTGGAATTGTCAATATTTGACGGAAATTTCAATGGAAAATTCATTCAAACAGAATATTTTTATTGGAATTTCTGTTGGAATCCATTGAAAAATTCCAACGGAAATAATAGGATTGAAGTATTCGTTGGAATTGTTGTTGGAATAATTCTATTGAAATATATTTACGATGGAATTTTATCATTTTCTTGTAGTGAATATTTAGCTAATAAAAATTATTAAATTTTAGAATAATGTCTTTTTTAAAATTTTTTTAATTCTATGTTGATATCAATTTGGAAAAAAAT